AAGGAGGGAGGGATACAGAGGAAGAAGAAGGAAGGGAGACGAGGAACATTAGCAGGCAAGCAGAAGGACCTTTTAGAGTCCACGATGAGCTTGTTGAAGGAGGTGGAGTGACGGTCAAGACAAGACACTGGAGGCTACGATCATACTCCCCTCCTCCATCCTCCTCCCCCTCCTCCACTCCTCCCCTTCCTCATCCTTGTCATCGTCGTCGTTGTCATCATCATCTCATACACCAGCATCAGCATTTCCATCATCATCATCATCATCATCATCATCATCATCATCGCTTCTTCTCTCCCTCGCTCTTCACCTTCCAATGCTGGGCATTCACGAATGAGAGGCTGGAGGAGGAGGAGAAGTTGCTGCCCCGTCAGCTGCTGCCCCTCCCAGCCCTCCTGCTGCCTCTTGGCATCCTCTGCATCCTCACGGTGAGAAACGATCGGAGGGAGCAGGCGAGGACCGTCGAGATCTCCTTCGACGCGGTAGAGGAGAACCAGGACCCCGACCCTGAGCGATATGAGAGGAAGAGCAGGAGCAGGAGCAGGAGCAGGAGCAGGAGCAGGAGCAGGAGCAGGAGGGGGAAGTGGAGGGGGAAAGGAAGGAATATCAACTGGAGGAAGAGGGAGAGAGGAGACAGAAAGTTGGATGACACAAAGACAAGAGGAGAAGGGGAGGGGAGAGGGGAGAGCAGAAGAGGGACCAGGAGATGCTAGAGCGGTGTAGGGAGAGCGCAGGAGGAGGAGGATGGAGATCTCACAGGAGGAAGAAGACGAGCAGGAAGCGCTTGAGGTTGCGAGACGCAAACATCTCAAGGGTCTTGCTGATAGAGAAGCCTTGCTCCTCCTGCTCCTTCCCTTCCTGCCCCCCCTGTCACACCTGTTACAGGTCCAACCCAGTTCCCTTCCGCCCTCCACTGCCAGCATCTCTTCCTCTTCCCCCTCCTTGGTCCTCTCCACCTTCCTCCGCTCTCCTCCTCCTCCTCTTCCTTATTCCATCCTTGATCCTCTCCTCTCTCTCTCCATCCTCCTCCTCCTCTTCCTCCTCCTCCTTCCATCCCTCACCAGCTCTTGGTGAGAAGTTCTGTTGTCGGCTGCCAAATGTCAGTGGAAAGATCAGGAGAACAAGTGAGAAGAAAGACAGAGCAGGAGCAAAACAGCAGATCGTGAAGGGGAGTGATGAGGAGGAGGTGGTGGCGGTGGTGAAAGAGAGAGGAGGAGAAGGAGGAAGTGGTGGAGGAGGTGCAGGTGCAGGTGCAGGAACAATAAGAGCCTTACCGTGTGAGCTCGGAGGAGTGTGAGAAGTGTGCGAGAGCTGCTGCTGCAGAGATTGAACTTTCTGTAGGAGGGGGAGGGAAGGAGGGAGGGAGGGAGGGAGGGAGGGAGGGAGGAAAGAGGAGAGGAAAGTAACAGACAGACAGAGCAAGGCAGGGAGCAAGGAAGGAGCAAGTCACGGTGTGAAGGGCAGGAGGGCAGGAGAGTAAGAAGTGCAGAGAAAAGTCAGAAATTGAAGGAGGAGAGGAGGTAGAGGCTCTGGACACACTTCAAGCAGGAGGGCCTTGTCTCTTCGAAGTTGATTGATCTGTCTCCTCTGACTGTGAATGATTTCATCCATTACCTGCCTCCTGCTTAACTTCTCTCTGGACCTTCTCCTCCTCTCCTCTCCTCCTCACCGATTGGTCCTGTTTCTCAGGTCGGCTGGCCTCCTATCTCAGCGTCACCTCCGTCGTTTTCTTCTCTGCTTCTCCTCACCTCATCTTCCTTCCCGTTCACTTTCGTTGGCTCTTCCTCTGCACGATGATCTAACCTACCTCCATCAACATGATCCACAGTAATACCTACGATACCGTCAGCTCCACCTGCTACCTCCCTCCCTCCCTCCCTCCCTCCCTCCCTCCCTCCCTCCCATTCCCGCCCTTCGCACCCACATGTTTGCTCTCGCTCCCAGTGCTCCAATTCCTTCTCAACCGTCGATTTATCCCTGCCGTGCTTGTCAGCTTTCTATCTTCCACCTGCCCATCCTTACCTTAGCTCGAATGCGTCTTCAAACATGGCAGAAACAGCCTTGTCGTCATGTCAGGATCGGTATCAATCACTCCTCGCAGATGTCCTGCTCCTGCTCCTGCTCCTGCTCCTGCTCCTGCTCCTGCTCCTCCTGCTCCTGCTCCTGCTGCTCCTGCTCCTGCTCCTGCTCCTGCTCCTGCTCCTGCTCCTGCTCCTGCTCCTGCTCCTGCTCCTGCTCCTGCTCCTGCTCCTCCTCCTGCTCCTGCTCCTCCTCCTCCTCCTGCTCCTGCTCCTCCTCCTCCCTCACACCTTGAGGTCCACCCGCAGCGCCATCTCGATTTCCTTTGTGGATAGGTCACCCCCATCCCACCGCATACGAATCACTCAGCAGTGCCGTCCAGCCTGAGAGTGCCGTCCGGGCCGGGACGCGCGGCCGCGGGCCCGGGCCGCCGCCGTCCCGGCGCTGGCCCGGTCACGCCGGGATCTCACTATCACGCCGGCTGCCACCGGATCGGCCCGGGTCAGAGTAAGAGCGGGGTAGGCACTGAACTGGCTGGGTCCCGGTCCGATCATGGCACCGCACTGCGGCATGCCGCAGTGACGGTGCGCGGCGACCGTCAGCCTAGAGTCGAGCAGCCGCGGCCCGCTGGGCGCCGCTCAGTACCGCCGTGGACTTCGGCCGCGGCGGCCGCGCCCCCAGCGGCGGCGGCTCGGAGCGGCCTCCGGAGGCTCCCGGGGCCGCCGCAACGTCGGACGGTCCGATCGGGGTCATGTTCCGCCGAGTTCACGTTGACGGAGGCTCCCAGAGTCCGAGTCACTGGCATCCAATGATGAGTACCGTACGGTTCACCGTTAACGTAAGCCTTAGCAGCTGATTGCTCGGACTCGAGACACTATTAGTAGAGGCCCGAGTAGCCTCCGAACTCAGTGGCTACACCGGGGCACGTACTCCAACGACACTGTAGGAATTCATTCACTGACTAGTGATATCATGATCAACAAACACACATACACTTGAAACCGAACACTATCAAGATCTTGACGGTCGGATTCTCACATCACACGCACTCACACTAGAAACCTTGAGGTGGTAGAGAAGAAGCCGCAGCCACTTGCCTGACCACTAGAAATACACGACTCGTCTGTCGACATGCCTTGGAACTTTCCGGAGCTATTAGGCTACTACGCTCCCCCTCTTCTAATGTTCCAAGTTGATGCACATCGGCGCTGACACAGAAGCTCCGGAGGCTAAGAGGGAAGAGGTGAGCCCTTGAGGGTCTAGACCAGGAACTTGACAAGGAGAGCGACGCCTGCTACGATCAGGAGCAAGAGAAGAGCAAAAGAGATGCGGGAAGAGAAGCTCCATGCTTGCTCTTCAAACAAGATGACATTGTTTCGTCGCATCCTGATACAAATCTCGATGGGTCGCTCTTGGCATGCCTTGCAGGCACTCGTCTCAGGTTCTTCTCCTCCCCCTTCTCCTTCTCTGCGCATCTCTCTCTTGCAGTTGCAGCACAAGAAGGTGCTGTTGTCCGAAGACAAGCAGCCGCTCGCAAGCCGCTGTCAGCACACGGTCAGTCGCCGTCTCACCGCTCGCTCTCACTTACATCAAGGAGCCTCGGAGGGTCAGCATATCGAGTGCAGGTATCGAGACAGGACCCTCCCGGCACGTTGAGCAATCCGCACTGCTCACACTTCAAGAATCGCTTCTGAAACATGTCTGCTCGCAGCAAGCAAGCTTTTAGTGGGGAGCCTTTCCGTGTCAATGCTTGAGTAAGATGTCGTGGTAGCAACTGAGGCGATGAGAGCAAAGCAGATCACTTTCGACGAGTTTTGCGACAAACACGGTACGAGGTCGCTTGTGTGCCCAACAATCTGCAGACATGCATCATCACAACGTGCAAACGAGCATTCGAAATGATCGAAGTTTAGAAGAATGTATGCTGCTGTTTGTGTCCAAGTACGAATGACAGCATCAATCAGATCAGATAGACATTATCTTCGATATCCACACTTTGTCCTTTTCTCATTCACAATTGTGTCTCTCGCTTTTGTTTGAGGTCTTGCAGAATGAATCCATCGCTGAGATACCCAACTCTTTGTCATCATGTCCTCCCTTGATTACTGGCATCACCTCCTATGTCGATTTGGCTTTGTCAAACAACATGGCATTGCATTCGAAAGAAACTTCAAGCAAGACCTTAAAGTTTACTATCAGCGCCTCTCTGCCTGCCTGTTTCTGAGCCATGAACGATTCATCCTCTTGTTATCACTTATTAACCTCAAGGCTTGATCATCAGTTTATAGGACCTCGCTTTGTTACAATTAGATGTAGAAATGTTTGCAATTCCTAATCCATTCCGCAAGCATGCTCTCGTCTGATCTCATACTCAAGAGCTCGCTGCAAACCTACTCCTCCTCCTACTACTACTTCTCCTACTCCTACTACTCCTCCCACTTCTCCTCCTCGTGATATTCGTGTTGACTAGCTGGAAGATGCATGCGCTCTCGCTCTCCTCGCCGCCTTCCTCGCTCTCTCTGCCCCTCCCTTGCAAGTAAACTTCACGGATGAGGGGGTCAAACCCCGCGATCCCAGGTACCCCCTCTACCCACCCCTCCCTCTCATCCTACCCTACCTGAGTCATCCACCGTCACCAGCTGATCTCGGCCTACCCGTTCATTCGACTGCTGATATACCCCTGAAACATCGCAGTTGACTTCTTGGTACCCCTTGACCTCTGGCATCCAATACCACCCCTACTACTCCACCCCGGGCGATGTCGCTACGGTAGCCACCAGACCGCCAGCAAAACTTTTAGCGGGAGATTTAATAATGATTTTTAATAGCGTTTGGTACTACTGGAACAACATAGTAAAATGGTGCCGCGATTATTACCAATGTCATACACGAAAAACAATCTTTTTAAAAGGGCTCTGTACTGAAATAAGTTACTGCTACTTGTATAAAGGTCAGCTGGACCTACTCTTTAAAAGTCTTAAAAATGCGGAGAGTTTTAAAAGGATGGAGGTCAGACGGTTCGCTGTCGAAGGTCAGCAGGCGACCGTCGGACTAGTCTCTCAAGTAAAGGTATCAGTTAACTTTGAGGGACAGCAGTTTGCAGGAATAGGTTTGGTTCTCGCTGTCTTTTCTCAGGTTTCTCGCTGGTTGGCCGGAGGCGGAGTGTGCGACAGTGGTGCCTCCTCGCCTCTCCTGATTGTGCTCGTACTGATTTTTAACTTAACTTTGAGTAAAGGAACAACTTGCCAAGTCTCTCTCTCAGCCTCAGACTCGCAGCACTGCCAGTGGCCGGGCGGCGGGCCGGCCCGGCGGGCCCTCAGGCTGGCAGCGGCACACTTCAGCCCAAATTTCACTGATCCGATCGGAGTCCGGCCCCACCAGCCTCAGTGTACGCCGGGTCCTGCCGCGTGCGACTTCATGCAAGTGTGTCAGCGCTGAAACGGATGGTTACGAAGTTCGGAAGGCCCTGAGGGTTTTGAGTACGGTCTCGGATGGCAGCTCGAGGCTTACCGTGCTGAGTGACTCAGTCGGACGGTCAGTCACTGTACTAGTGACGGTGACCGTCCGTGTCCTTCACAGCCCGGGATGGTGACGATGATCATCGGATGACGTTCAACGTTCCGACACAGTGTGGTCAGTGTCAAAGTCTGATCCTTTATTTACATACTCCTTGAAGCTCCTACTGCAGCCTGGGAGAGGCTCCTTCGCATGCCCGCCGGTCCGGGTGCAACTGCATCACCTCGCAGGAAGCGGGACTGAGAGCACGAGAGCAGAGGAAGGAAACGATGAGTCGGCGATCAAGTCTATCTGAACACCTTGTGTATACACGAGGACGTCCGGCCCCTCCTGCGCCAACAGACGAACAGAGCAGCAATCACTGCAGCCTCGTCAGAACCAAACCACCGCATCACAAACCATTCACATGACCGTGCTATCCCTCCCTATTCCTCTTCCGGGACTCTCCTCCTTACCCTCCCCATCATCCTCTCTCCTCTTCGAAAGTCCTACCGTTGACTCTTCGAAGTTTCTGTTCGTCTCGCTTGCAGGCTGCGACCGAGGGCTTGGAGGCTGACGCCTGGAGCGAAGTGAGATGTAGGAGGAGAGAACAGACTCTCGCACAATCAAACGGATGGACAAACGGCACGATCGTGTGCAGGGCAGCAGGAGAAGTTGGGAAAGATTCAGCATAAGCTCGGAAGGACCTGCTGACGTGTCTGGCGCAGGAGTCAGTCAACAACGACAGGCTCCTACATGCTCACTTAATTGTCCACTCAGGTAGCTCCACGACGACAAGCCCCAACGGCAAGCTGCTGATCCCGCCCAGGACTGCACGAGAGCGTCAGCTACCAGCCTCTCGACCTCCTCCTACCTTCGGTATGGTCAATCGTGAGACTCTCTTCCTCCTTCTTGACGCAAGTGTTGACGTTGGGATGACGTTTTGCCTGCTCCTCCTCTTCTCCCTGCTCCCCGATGTCAGCCATCAGGGTCTTTCCTCCTGCCTTGCACCTTCTGCCGGAGTAGCTGCGTCCTGGTATCCTCCAAGATCTGTATCACTGTCCTTCCAGTCTTACCAAAGGTGACCTGCGCGGTCTGACCCTCCTCTGTTCATGTCTGTCAGTGGAGGACAACAAAGGTCCGGAGTTTCACCGGGAGGAGGGAGGAGAGATGCAAGCTGTCGCAGCAGATCGCTCTTCTTGGCTCGCTGCTTTTCTTCTGCATGCTCTTCTCCTTGAGTCGCTGACATCGCTCAGAACCAACTTCATCTCGCATGCTCGCTGGCGCTTCTTCTGAGTTGGAAAATTCCTCTCCGTCAGCCCCGCCACCAGCGCTTGGCACAAGACCTCGCGTCTTGGGAGTGGGTGGCGTCTGTCCGAGGAGGAAAGGAGGCATTTGACATGACATGGAGCGGAGGAGCAGACCGAGTTGCTCGTGGGGAGGCACAGGAAGAGAGTTTACCAGCAGCTCCTTCTGCCCTGCGCTTGCTCGCTGCCTCGATCCTTCTCCACATCAGGAGCGTCTCTTTGAAGGTAGCGGGGGATGGGATGAGGAAGTTGAGGCTGCTGAGAAACTCGTTGAGCTCCTTGCTCGACCTCTCCTGCCTGGCTGCATGCAGACGAGAGAGCTGCGTTGAAGAGGAGACGCCATGCTTCCATCCTAAGGTAGGAGAGGACGCGGAAACAGGTGCACGAGGAGAGTATCTGTCTGCTTCTCTTCCTGGCTGGCTCACTCGCTCGAGATGGATCTGAAGCAAACCTCACCAAATCACTCGCTGTTTCCCAGAAGCATCAATACTCCACATTTTTGTCTCGAACGATACAATTCCTCCTTCACTGCTCAAGTCTTGGCCTGTGTTGGAGCATCTACAGGGTAAACGAAGGAAGTTGGTCGTCCTTCCGTTGTGTCTATCCCTGTCATCGTATTCTTTTGGACCATTTCATCGTCTTCGTTGACTTGTCTCAGTGTTTCGGAAGCAGGAAGAACAAAGCGGCGAAATAAACGTCAAGAGGATCACGGTTACGGTGAGCGTGAATGCTTTACAATACAAATCGGCAAGAAAAGGGAAAGAGATAGATCAGGGTCACGAAGAAAATGAAAACTAGCCCAAGCACGTTCGGTCGGGGGGTTTTATCAGGAGACAAGACCCAAGGAGATGGAGAGGGACTGGGCTAGAGGAGAAGAGAGCCTATCGAGGGAGAAAGATGCAAACAGAAGACAAGAGACGAGACAAGAGAGCGCAGCAGCAGCAGCAGCGACAAGGACGCGGGAAGCGGGGGAGGACGCGGGTAGAGGGGCAAGGGGCAATGGCAGGAATGCCAAGGAGGAGGGGAGAAGCTTGTTAGGGGAAAGGGTAGGGTAGATGACTGGTTTTAATAGGGTGGGGTGGTCATTTTTCTTTCTTTTGAGCTCAAGATCTCATATATAAAGGAAGCGGTTGGTAGGGTAACTTTACTTAGGGGGTAGGGGTAGAAACTTGGTCTGTAAAAAAGGGGTTCAAGTTCGAGAGATGCAGGGTAGAAGAGAGGGTAGTATCATTCCAAGTACGGGTGGGTGTGACGGAACTCGTTCAGCTAAGGGGGTGGGGGTGGGGCATAAACACGAGGAGGTCAGAGAGAAATGAGACTAGATCCAACTAACACGAGAATGAGGGCGATGAGTGCCGGAGACACCCGGTGACCGGCGAGCCTGCCTCGGATCATCCGGCCCGGGAGGGCGATGAGTCACCATCACGCCGGCCGCCGGGCCGGGCCCGCCCCGGGGCCAGTCCCGGGCCGCGGCGGCCCGCCGGCACGGTACTACTCAAGAGTTAAACTGGATCCGAGTACTAGCTCAGTGACGGCGGCGTGACTGAGTGGCACCGGGTGGTCCGGGCCCTCACGGTCCGACAAGTGAAGGCTACCGGGCAGTGGCACGTCCGGCGGACTCCGACTCAGCGGAACTTGTTGGTCAGACACTCAGTGGTCGGATGAGTCACAAACTCCGATCATCGGCGAGTCGGCTACCGGCCGCTGAGTCACGAAAGAGTCACTCTGCCAGTGTCAGCTGGCGGCACATCCTTTAACTAAAACAAGACTTTTAGCTCAAATCAGGCATATGCTTGAAATCGCGTCATATGGACTCCCGCCCGAAGAAGACGGAGTGATTCATTGTTCCTGGTACGCCCTTGATGACTGCCCTCGTGATAGGCAGAGGGTCTTACAGCAAGTTCAACCAGAAGGAAGGGTTCAGGGACTCAGGGTACAGACATGCGTAATTTACATTGAAAGAGACTCGATGATTTCACATGGGACACACAAGCATTTCCAAGCCGATGGCTCATGTTGAGAACCGCGGAATTTACTACTCGGAGATCGATCCCGGGGAGCGACCGTTCTATCGAACCCGTGGACACTTCCTTCGCAACAGCGCAAAACATTCACCACAGCGACGTCGAACTCCGCGATCCCTCCCACAAGCACAACGCACACGCTCTCGATACATCACAGCTCTACAAGAGTCTGCCGTGGTTGCTGTCAAGCGAGAATCGGATGATAGAAGATGATGATACAAGAAACCAGCTTTCGGTTTGAGCGACGCAGAAGCATTCCCGCGCTAAACTTGAACGAACTTCAGCGAAAATATCTCCAAAATGCGTGCAAGGAACTTATTACAAGCATGAACAGCAAGAAAGATCAGAATGACAGAAGTCTCATCTCTACCTACTCCAAGAAAGTGCTGGTTGTTTCGAACGGGAGCGAGTGCCTGAAGAATGTAATGAGGGCAAGAGACCAATCCTCGACTCGTTCGGAAGACAGCATGGAAATCGATTGAATGTTCGCTTGGAGCCTGTACAGCAATGATATTTGTAAATAATACCCTCGAGTAAAGTCCTGATGAACTCAAATTGGATGTATGGAAATGTCAACACACACAGCTTTAGGAGATTTCAACCTGACTGTCCTGACCAACTCGTAGCCAATTGCCTTGAATCATATTCTTCTTGCATCCACAGCGTAAATACGATGCATTGATGGATGTAGATGCTTTTGGCAGTATGGCACGTGTATTACAGTCAATGTGAGGAGTTCCTGTCTAAATGGTTTCAGAATTGATTGATTGGTTTCCAAACGTGTAGAAACCTGCTCACAGAATTTCTAATTAAGGTGTGATGCAGCGATGTCTACTTCACTTGCGATGCAAGTCTAGACTGACGTGGTATTGAGCATGCAGTGTGCACAAACCCTTTGGAATGAAGAGCCGGATCCTCTCAAAAGGCGCAGCCTTGGAAAGTCGCACTATTGATTGAGCTCCTTGCTCCATGAGACAATCGTCTTAGTCTCTGGAGCTCGAGCTCCTCATAAGTTTCTGCTTCTTGCTGTCATCCTACGTCACTGACCAGCACTTAGGCGCAGTCACGGCAGGCCCGCGGCCCTGGTCGGAGTGATTAACTGCGGATGATTCCGTACGGGCACGACTCGATACGTCGAAGAGGCTGCCAGACATGAGAGGAGCCTTAATAAGACAACTAGGGAAGCGTCTTCTTCTTCTTCTTCTTCTTCTTCTTCTTCTTCCTCTTCCTCTTCCTCTTCCTCTTCTTCTTCTTCTTCTTCTTCTTCTCCTCCTCCTCCTCCTCCGAGGCTCCTCCTTCTCTGCGCTACATGGCTGTCATGAGTCTGCAACACGTAAGGGTCGTCTTTGCGATCCATCAGCCTCACCGACGGTGAGTGAGGCTGCTCAGAGCCTCGGAGCTGCTGCAGCAGCTTCAAGGCGGCGGTTCAAGTTCCATGTCACATCGCCCCAGCCCGGGTTAAACCGATCCGGCGCCCAGGCTGCCAGTCTGTCCTGTGACTCGGAGGAAACTTGAAATGTCACAGAGGGAGGGCAAAGCTCAGAGCTAACCTTGTACGGCTGCCCGGATCCGACATGATACACCCGGTGGCACGGTCACGGTCACCCTGTCACCGGCGGTTACGGTTCCGAAGTTCACGGTCACGGTCACCGTGGCGGGCCGCCGGGTGGAGTTGTTACTATGATCAGAGACTCGGACTCAGTCAGCGGCGAGTTGGTCAGTGCGGCCGATGAGGAGTCCGATCTGATCAGGGCCCACGGTGGCCACGCCGGGGTGGGCGGGCCACCGTCCGCGCGGCCCGGCCCCCGACCCGGCCGGTGGCTCAGCGGCAGTCACTCAGTGGGCTGGTTGATGAGCCTCCGGCGGAGCCTCGGAGATCGCGTGGCCGGTGACGATGCTCTTGTTGGGGGAGGCGAGGGGGTCAGGGTAGTAAAGTACGGAGGGGTAGGGTATAGTAGTATAGAGGAGGGGTTCCAAAGTCGGATACTTGGGGGTGGTCAGACCGTGAACACCCCACCCTACCCCAGCTCCTAAGAATACCCTTATTAATAGGGTAGGTTGCTGGGAAAGAGGGGGTGGTTTGAGGGAACAAAGCTGTAGTTGGGTGGGGTGAGAACTAAAATAGGGGATGGAGGGGTAGGTCTGAGTACCGGGTAGGTATCGGGTAGGAAAGGGGGGTACTAGAATGCGCTACCTGGTGACAACTCATGGGTTGGAAAGAATTACAACATTGGTGGGTGGTGATATGTGGGGGGTGGGGTGATAATTGATACCCCCTCGTTCGACCATCTCAAATAGGGTGGTAGTTTCAAAGTTTGTAGAGTGATACTGAATCCGTGGGGGTAGGGTAGAGCAGGAGGAGGTCTGAGGGGGGTAGGGGTGTTGTTCCCTGAAGGTGACGGCGGCATGGCGCTAGTGATAGACGGGAAATGCGGCGAGGCGGTGGAAGATGTGCGAAAAGATGCGACGGTGAGTAGCAACATGAGCTGCTTATTGTAATCAGTGTCAGAATCTCCTTCTTGCTCGGGTTTCCCCTGGGCTATCGACGCCTCCTTTCAAAACAAACTGTTGAGTTTTTGCCGATTTCTTCGTGGTGAAGGGAGCAATGAATGAGGAATCAAAGATGCATCCTACACCTGTGTTTGATATTTCTTTCCTTTCTTCTTTTGATTGTTTTCATCTTCTGCTTACCACACATGTAATTCAGAACAGAATATGCTGTGATGCACTGTGTTCTATGTTCAAAAATTCGAAATTCCCCCACTTATTAGTACTGTTACGGGTGGGCTTATTGTTTGAAAACAGCAAACAAACTGGGCCGCTTTCAAGTACGAAGGGAAGAGCAAGATAGTTTTGGGAGGCAAGGGCAGCGGAGGGTGAGAAGCAACAAGATGATAAGAGTGGAGTGACGTGGTTGACTCATCGGCAGGTTTGCTGAATTTCGAGACTCGCTGCCAGACGATCAATGCACATGGGCGTTTCTACGCATGATCGCTGGAGACCAGGAGAGCAAGCGAGCGAAGTTCGTAATGGTCCAGTACAACGGTGAGCTGCCTGCGGTAGCTTCCTGCCTGGAACTCATGTCCTGCAGGCCCGAACCTTAACGGAATGGCGAAGTCCCGAGCGGGCGCGCACAAACCCGGTGAGAGGGATCGAGCGAGCGAGCGAGAGAGGGTGGGAGGGAGAGGGAGGAGGGAGGGAGATAGAGTGGAGGGTGAAGTTCATATCAGATGTCGAGAGAGTGATTGGACAGCATCACGTGTTCTACTTCGCCGATGACCCCGAGGACATGACGGAGGAGCTGGTGATGGACAAGATTAAGAAGAGCAGCGGTACTGGTGACGGTCTGCGCTCCTTCTCTCCTCATGCCATGCAGGTGCCAACTACGATCTGGGCAGCAACGCCAAGGGCTACCAGTCGCAAGCAGGAGACATCAAGGCGAGCGCTAAGTCAGCCTACCTGACCAAGGAGAAGGAGACCAACATTACCAAGCCTGTTATCTTCTGTGGTCTGACATGCCTCCTCCTCCCTCTCCTTCCTTCTCTCTTCGTCCTCCTCCTCCTCCTCCTCCTCCCTCTCCTTCTCTCTTCATCCTCCTCCTCCTCCTCATCCTCATCCTGCCTCTCCTTCTCTCTTCATCCTCCTCTT